GTCCCTTTTCTATCCCAGGGCCTTATGTGGTGGGATTTTGCCAGCAAAATGTCCAGAGGCTGTGCTTCCAAAGTCCATGGATGTGATCTTATATTTTGTCCCCCTCCCTACTCTCAGGGTCCTGAACTCTACAGTCCTATGATCTGTATGGTTCTTACGGTCAGCCAGTGCTGCCATTGAGCTTCACAGCCCTAATGAGTCCCTCGCAGATGGCAAGTAAGAGGTTCAGCAGAGCACCTATCCTCACTGACCTCTTGGTCCCTTGGATCAGGAATATACCACTGCTGTGCTCCAGGAACCTTCTGGATGACTTATGCCCAGCTGTGCTGCCTTGAGCACGTAACAGGGTCGTGGAAATTCCCCATGGGGACCAGGCCCTGCAAATGTTTGTGGAGGGTCTCCTCTGCTTGTTATCCCTGATCAGATGGCCTGTTGCAGACATCCACTACACCCATAGTGGTCTGTTTTTTAGTCCTTGCCCGTAAGTTCTCTATTGGCTTCTTACACTTGGAATCATTGAATCTAAGAAAATCAAGTGTGATTGTTAATGTAGCAGTGCTGTGTTCATCACTAAACCATGTCCTTAACCTCCATATCCACATGATTTTCTGTACGCTTCCAGGGATAGTGATTCCACCCTTTCTGTGGGCAGCCTGTGCTGAGCTCGACTACTCATTCCCTGAAGATTTTTTCCTAATCTTCAGTCCCATTGACACAGCTTGAGGCTGTTTCCTCTTGTCCTGTTGTTTGTTACGTGGGAACAGAGCCTGACCCCCACCTGCTACACCCTTTTGTCAAGGAGCTGTAGAGAGCAATAAGGACTCCCTGATCCTCCTTTACTCTAGGATGAACACCCCCAGCTCCCTCAGGTGCTCCTCACTGGACTTGTGCTCCTGACCCTTTCCCAACTCAGTTTCCTTCTCCAGATACACTCCAGCACCTCAATGTCCTTCTTGCAGTGAGTGGCCCAAAAACTGAATGCAGGATTTGAGGTGTTTCATCAGTGCCCAGTACAGGGGGATAGTCACTTCCCTGGTTGTGCTGGCCACATTGTCTCTGATACAAGCCAGGAAGCCTTCAGAGAGGCACCCCAGCATGCTAATTTCCTAGGAAGGATTTTGGGGATTTCTGTGTGATTGTGCCTGGTAGGTACTTCCTTGCTTATCTACAAATGTTGGAGGTGATCCTGTTTTATTATTTCTTATACTGTATTTTTTTAAAAATCCTTCCATGTGACATCATTCCTGACCACTTCTCCCTCACCAGGCTGCTGTTGATTCTCTCTGTCTCCTTTTATTCTTAGCCAGAAGCTGTCCTCAGTGGTTCAGCCGTCTTCCTGGCAAAGGTACCTCTGCTGCCCTTAGTTGGATCTCAGCTCTCTCAGGCAGACACAGATCTGAAAATAAGGTCAGAGAACCCCAAACACCAACTCTGAGGCCAGTTATTGATCTATATTAACAGTGTTCTCCTCTCACACTTTTACTCCCCTCACATGTGGATAGAAGAGGACACAACCTGTGATCCTGATTACCTACAGGATTCTGCAGTCAGTTTTGATGCAGTCTGCCTCTGGCAGTATCACTAATACCCACATGGAAGTACAAAAAAGGATAGTAGTCATTGAACTGGACAAGCTTTGACAATTCCTCTACAATATCCAGGATTCAGGCCTTTGCAAGACAGCAAACATCTCTAGATGATGGGTCAGGTCATTGAAACAGTTATTTCAGACAACTGTTGGTATGGATTCCAAGACTTATTTCCTGAAGTGCAGTTTCTGTCTCTTGAGCTCATAGGCATGTCAGTTTAGTTTGAAATAGCTGTAAAGCTCTAGATGTCAGGGAAAAAAATTATGAATGTTATGACTTGTAAAAATTACAGTCAGAAAGTTACTTGTTAAATTCAGACTTCATCCATAAGAAAAACTCACAGGAATGTGTGGAATACCATGAATTACTACTTTTTAATCAAGTAATATTTTCATGGTTTAAATGTTCAAAGAGTTTATCAGTATTAAGGCCATTTAATGTTAACTGGCAAATTTACAGTGCATGCACTTTTTCTTCAGAACATTATGTTGCAGAGAAAAAATATGGTTCTTCAAACTCAGATTTTAGAAAATAGCATATTTAGAAAATATGTAATAAAAATATATTATCTATTATATAATAGGTGTTGTTTATTCTTTATATAAATTAGCCTCTGTGTATTTAGAATACATGCTATTAGGCTAGCCAACTTCAGCATAACCCTTATTTGGGCCCTTCAAACTGACAGTACAGAATGCACAGATCTTCAAGTATTGCACCCGTGTTTTCCACTAATCAGTATTGCCTAAAGTATTGGAAGCAATCCTGGGGTAGCAGTGATGTGACAAATTCATCACATACAGGCCACAGATGTCTGGTGTACAGCTCTCATTGGTTGTAGATATCTAATGCACATTGCAGGCCCAGCTGAGGCTCTGCTAGATGTAGGATTACTGCATTGTATTCCCTTCTTACGTTGCTTAGTTTCCTTTATATATTAAGCTAAAGACCTGTGGTGGATTGACCTTTTCTGGCTGTCAAATTCCAACCCATCCAAGGTCAACCCACTGCTCTTCTTTTAAGCACCAAAATCTGAGTCTTGAGGATTAAGAGATAGGGAATGGTGATGGTCCAAACGTGGACTGAACTGCCAGAGTGAAATAACTGGGGATTCTTTTGTTGTTCTTATGAGGTGAAAGAACAAGGAGGAGAGATTTACCTTGTATGGGGGTCTGTGTTGCACTGTATTAGGAACGGTGAAAGTGACAACACAGAGTCTCTAGCCTTAGTTGCAAAAGAGAGCCCTTTTTATTCTTCCAGATCTTCTTTTATAGACAGTTCTGGGAAGGTCTGAAAAGGTGAAACTCTCATTTGTCATCAAACCAACACATCACCATCATTGGACAGTTAGGAACACCCCTTGACTGTTTCTTGCAAGTAAACAAGGAGACAACACCTGCAAAGGTTGTTGTCCTTCTCTAAGGACTGTTTGGATTCCTCTTTATGGTTGCTCAGGCCAGAGTGAGAAAGTTTTGTGACTTAGTTTCACACAGACACTGTGCTACCTGCCTGACTTCTTGCATTCAGCATCCATAGGTGTGTGTAAAAATTTCCACTTCCTCAGGATTTTTATGTCACTTTGATTTTAGTGTGGGAAATGTTGGGGACTTTTTTGTAAATGTAAGTGAAGTTTGTGAAGAATATGTGAGGAGTATATCTTTTATTGACCGTTCATAAGTAAGTGTTTCACAGAGGTGAGGGTGGAATGCTCTGGGTGCAGATGTCCAGGTGCTGGCAGTGATGGTCTCCAGTATCTGGAGAGGAGAGGCCAGTCCTGCTTTGTGCCAGACAGCTTCAGACCCAGCTCAGGGCACAGCCTCCATCAGCAAAGCATGTAGTACCTCTGGCAGAATGGGTTTTAAGAAAGGGCAAAATGCTGCCTGACAGTGTGGTATAAGGCTAAAAAAGGGAGAGAAGCCATTCTGTGAGCACCACGGTCTTTGATGAAGGACGCACAGAAAGCATTCTAGTCAGAGGAGCAAGTTAGGAAGACCACAAGTGGAGCAAGTGTTTCCCTGAAACCTATGCAGGACCTCATGCCAGTGTAGGTAGATATTTTCAGGAGGAACTGGAGCCTGTGGGGGTCTACACTGGAGGAGTTCCTGATGTGCTGTGGCTTGTGGCTCCCATGCTGGAGCAGGCAAAAAATGTGAGCAGAGAGTGTCAGAGGGGAAACATTATGGACTGATTTCTCACTATCCAATTCTATTTTAATTTGCAACAGATTAATTTAATGTTCCCAAAGTCAGGTCTGTTCTTTCTGTGATGAAAATTGATAAGTGTTCCCTGTTTTTATCTTCACCCATAATATTTATATTTCTCCCTGTGTTCTGTACATGAGGAAAAATGAGAGATCAGCAGGCTGGAAGCCAAAGTCAACAATTGCAAGGACTTAATTTCTTTTGTCAGGTATTTGTTTCAGATGTTTGTAGTGTCTTCTTAGTTTTCCTAGCAGGACATAAAGCACCTTACCACTGGGAAGGTTTAACTCTTGTGGTGTTGAAGTAGTGAATGACTGCTATAGGAGTCCTTTTTTCATGTAGATTAATTGGTTTCTGTAGAAAGTTTGTCAGGTGTACAATTGTATTCTAACATGGGTTTGGAGCTGATTAAACTTTAGTTGTTAAACTAGAGTGTCAGGAATTGCTTGTCTGATGTCAATCCATGTTTGTATCTTGTTTTCTTTCTTAAGAGAAAACCAGAGCCTTAAAAAAAATAAATTCACTTGAATCTGATATTAGTATTCTCTCTTTGAAGCTGTATCGTGTTCCCTAAGTTTCATAGGAACTTGTTACGGTAATTCTAGAGTTGGTTTATTTATCTGTAGCCTTTTTGTTTGCGTTGACAAGTGAAATATGTCCTTCCTTGTACAGTTGGTGTACCAGGCAACAGGAAATGTACAAGAAGCTTTGTTATAGCAATTGGCTATAGTTATCAACATTTTTTGTTGATGGGTTCTTTCAGTTACTTTTTCTGAGTTTGACATTTCCTCTATCTCTCTCATGCTGTCATTCCTTCTTGCTCAGTTTATTTTCTTCATTTCCTGCATTCTCCTGTTTAGTGTACTGTATTATTATTTTGTTTAATCTTCTTCATACCCTCCTGCCCAATGCCATAATTTGTAAGATGCAATAATTTTTGTGACTTAAGGGTCTCATACCTACTGTTCATCTAGTCAATGTCAGTTTCCTCAGAACAGAGAATGCCAAATGCTTCTCTTCCTGGCAGCTGTGTCTTGGGCTTCCTAGTGTGATTTGAAACTTGCCCTCATTTGTCAGTTTTCTATTCATTTGGCATGTCATACCTCCCTCTGTAATGAACAAGCTGATCCATTTTAGGTGAAAACAGCTTTGATAGCAGAACTGTTTCTGCAAATTCATGTTTTATATTCCTTTAATTTTTCTTTTTTAGATGCTGGATGTCTATGACATTCTTCCTTTTGATAATCCAGATGGTGGCGTTTGGAAACAAGGATTTGATATCACATACAATGAAAATGAATGGGACAATGAACCACTTCAAGTTTTTGTTGTGCCTCACTCACATAATGATCCAGGTAATATGTTAATTTTATTGATTTGAGGATCTAGAGGCTTTTGGATTAGGAAATGCATTGCCTTTTCTGTTAAGATTTGGGTTTTTTTGAAGCATACCAGTTAATATGCTATATTTAAGTCTAGCAAGGCAGTTAAGCAGATGTATGATCCAAGTGCCATTGACTTCCAATGACAACTTTTACGATACAAGTTGTATGTCTACTGAATTTGTTAACTGGAGCAGAACTTCAGTGTTGAATAGGTAACCTATTCAGTTTATCCATTGCTGCATTAAATGCCATCAATTCTTATTTTGATTTTTGAACTGTCATAGATAATTAACCCTTAGGCTGTGCTAAGGAAATGTGCTTTTAGAAGATGTGACAATGGCAAATCTGAAGTTTTTGAAATTTTTTTCTTTTTTTTGTGCGCAGCCACAACCTATAGTAGGATAATGAAAAGTCTAGATTTAAACAGAAATCTAGGTATGCCTACATAATTTCATTTCCACCCAAGTTTACAGTGTAATAAACGAAATGGAGAAGTGTTCCTTTATTTTGGAATGAGTTTGTGGGAAAAATTTACCAAAAAGCAAATTATACTGCTACGCTGTGGTCCTGGTACATGTACACTGACCATGAGAGTCTGATAGCACTGGTTGTTACCACAGAAACACACAATTTAAGTGATACTAAATTTTATTACTGTATAACTCTCTGAAATTTAATTTGTTGTATGAAGTACTGTGGATCTGAGTGAAGGTATAGTAGTTTGAAAATAAATTTGAAAAATTTATATGCATGTATATAGCATTTTCAAAGAAAATGAATGCTGGAATGTGGAATTACTATATTGTCCATTTATGACAGGTAAATAAATACAGCATAGATATGATAAAAACATTCAGAGAAAATAATCAGAATATAAACCTAGATCTACCTATCTATTGAACTGTCTTTGAACCTGTGTCCATTTATTTCCTCTCTGGTTATAGTTCTCCTAAAAACTTCCCTAGAAAGAAGCAACTCTGTACAGGCACATAATGAATCAAAGCAATCCTAAAGCAATCCTAAATCTCTTGGGCCTCCTAGAACAGGATGTGGGGTTTACCTGTCCCCCTTTTTTTCTGCTGAAGCTGTTGGAATCATATCCTAAGTACAGGACTGTTGGCAGTCCACTAGATGCCAGTTGCCTGGTGTCACTTCTGTCCTCCTGGAATGTTTTTATCTGATTTGAACAAACATCCTGTGCACATTCAAGCTGAGGTAACTTCTCAAGATCATGAGGCTTAGGAGCTGCAAGGGAATATCCTGAGGTAAGCTGTGAAGAGATTTGCAGATAACTTCACCAGTGTCTATTCAAATCGTGAGGTTTAGTAGGGGCTCACTGTTCTGACACTATTATGTTTTTAGATTATTTTAAAATTTTATTTATTCATCTAAATTTCTACTGATACTTTTTCTGCAGGTTCTAGTAATTTAATTTTGGTTTTATTTTATTTTTATATCTTCTGTTCTCTCTTCCAGTTTTATTGTCTCATTTCATCAGAGCAGGTCGGGGGAAGGGAGTCGCTGCATGGGGCTTTATTTCCAGCTGGACTTAAACCACAACAACAGGCAACACCTTTTGTGTATGAGAAGCTTTGGCATTGGGTGCTTTAATAGGATTTGGTTCACACTGTAGCACCAGTTCTGTTTATGAAAAATGGCCCACTGAGCCTTTGTTCTACAGAATCTGAGAACTTCAAGTTCTCTGAGTTTACTGAACCCCTTCTCATATTGCTCTACAAGGAAATCCAGACAGATTGGTTAAGGACCATTGCCAGTTGTATGAGTTTCAACATGGTAAAATGCTGGGTCCTACCCTTAGGTCACAAGAACCCCTGCAGTGCTTACAGCCTTGGAAAGAGTGGCTGGAAAGCTGGCCAATGATCTTAGTAACTGGGAAAAGCACCCAGGGGTGCTGCTCAACAGCAGCTGAACGTGAGCCAGCTTGGGCCCAGGTGGCCAAGAAGGCCTGGGGCGTGCTGGCCATGTGTGAGCAATAGTGGGGTGGCAGGAGCAGGGCAGTGAGCGTGCCCCTGTGCTGGGCAGCGCCGCAGCCGCAGCTGGAGTGCTGTGTCCAGTCCTGGGCCCCTCTGATCAGAAAGTCATTGAGGGGCTGGAGCGTGTCCAGAGAAGGGAACGGAGCTGGTGAAGGGTCTGGAGCACAAGTCTGATGCGGAATCTGAGTGTATTTAGCCTGGAGCAAAAACAGACTCAGGGGGATCCTTATCACTGCCACTACCTGAGAGGAGGTTATAGTCAGGTGGGGATCGGGCTCTTCCATGTAACAAGTTTCAGTACAGGAGGAAACTCTGCTTCAAGTTATGCCCAGGGGATGTTTAGATGGGCTATTAGAAAAATTTTTTTCCATTAAAGGGTGCTTGAACATTGCAATGGGCTGCCTAGAGAAGTGCCATTTCTGCAAGTGTTCATAAAAGCAGGTGGATATGGGCACTTAGGGACATGGTTTAGTGGTGAAGACAGTGGTGCTGGATTAATGATTGGACTTGATTTTCTTAGAGGCCTTCTCTGACCCAAATAATTGTGATTATTTGGGTAGAGACTACCATATGTCACTACAAACCATATTCCTCCTCACTGTATTCCAAGGAGGCTGTGCAGTCTGGAGGCTGTTGTTGGCTCAGCTGGATACTAGCAAAGGTCATTAATAGCAGGCTATGCAGAAATTCATCAGAGCCCCTAGATTTTTAGTTGTATGTCTTTTGATACTAGGGGACTGAATTGCTCTGTGCTGCTTCTATACAAAGGGTCCCCAAAACAGTGGATGGTGGCCACATCTTGTCATGGTCTGGTTGACCCCACTTGAGGAACACCCTGACTCAGGGTTGGTAGTTTTGTCGCAGTCCAGAGATAAAACTAGGTCACTGGCTTGACCAAGACAACCATTGCCAGGGGTCTGCTGTGGCTACTGGTGAAGTAAAAGGAGTGGATACAACTGTGGTTGCCTGAAAAGCAATTTAATAGAGTCAATAAAAGCAGTAGCCCCAGGGGGCAAACTCTGGGGTGGGCAGCCAACAGAAGGCCAATATTACAGGTAACAGAACATTATATAACCTTGGTAACAGAGCAAAGAACTTGTGAACAACAATGTAACCATATACAGAAAAGCAACAAACTAATCATTAACACATAACCTTATATAGAAATTATGATGTAACCCATATTAACATAACTAAACCATAATCCTATGCTTCTCCCCATAATTTATCTAGATGTTCTCCTCCTTAGCTCTCCACTTCTCAAGGCCTTAAGTTGATTCAGTCTGCGTGGTCGGTCAGGGCCAGCTCACTGTCAGTCGCTGCCTGACCAACTCCCACAACATTTCTTCTAAGTCTCCAAATAAGGATGAGAGTTACTAAGATCATTCAGTGAAAAATGACTTGAACTTTACTATATATTTGCCATGGTGCTTGAAATATGATACCACCTTTTGGAAAGTCAGAGAATAGCAAGGTTTTTTCTCTAGATCTGAAGACCCTCTCTTTGGCATTCTTCTTGGTTCTTGGCCTGTGTTTAAAAAGCACAACAGAAAACCCAAGAAAACCCACAAGCATACAAGTAAAATCTTCCAAACAGCCACCACCCAGCAACAACAAACCAAAAACTGGGTTCCAGGTGAAAAACAACTACACCACCTAAAGCATCAGCCAAAAAATTCCTCTTAAAAAATGCAACCAAAACCACCCATCCTCCCAACCCCCCACCCAAGCAGTTTGTGAGTAACTAAAATTACGAAACCTGTAAGACAGATAAAGTCTAAATACTGCTCCATAACCAGAGGTAGCTTTACCAATATCTTTTCCTGTTTAACTTCGTGTGTTATCAATCATGGAATTTCCTCTTTACTTAGGAGGTATGTTAGCCATGTGTTTATTTTTTAATTTTACATATGAGTGAGGCCTCTTGGTATACCTGGGAGTTCCATTTAAGGAACTTTAATCTGATTCTATTTTGCCCTTTCCAGCACTGCTCTGGCCCTCTTCCGAACACGGATGTAGGCCATAGTGAGCATAGCTTCAGAGATGGATTTTTACAGGCATTTATGACATTTGTCTTGGAGGGAGTCATAAATTAGATCTACAGTAAGGTGCTTATTCTTTTATCTCTGAGAGAAGTTCTCCCTGTGACTGTCCCTTCAATGACAAGGTTTGAAAAATTCTATGAAGTTATGAGAGCTGTATCCCATCATTTTGTTGCTACTTTTTTTTCCTGAATTATGTTCACAAGGGCTTGCCTGAAGTCTTAATGCTATTGTCATTTACTTTTGAAAGGTGATTTTCTTGCTGGTATCTGGTTTTTGTTCCTGAGTCTTCACTCTTAGAATGTAAATTCTTCATGCCTTTACAATAAAATCATGTCTGGCTTCCACCAGCAGCAACTAAAATGAAGAAATCTGTATCTCCTCTTGCATGCAATCTAAATATCTCTCAGATTTTTCAAGCTTCTCAGTTGATATTCAGTAGACATAAACTGAGATAGGACCCTGGGAAAAGTAAACAGTTCCTTCACCAAAGGTGATTATGTGAGACTGGTTATTGTTTGCTTTCTCAAAGGGTGTTATGGAAATCTCATGACTTGATACTGCTTTTTAAGGACATTCCTGTGGAACTTTTTGCAGTATGAAATTGCATATTAACAAGCACTTGAAAGAAGGAAAATATATCTGTAACATCTGGAATCTCCTGTCACAGTCAGCTCACTGTGACTCTGAGTCTGGTCCGACTGGGTGAGCGTGGCAAAATAGAGGGATGAGAATGATGGAGTTACCTGAAAAATAAAACTTCAATGATGGTAAAATAACAAACTGCAGAAACTGCACATTCTGGGGGCAAGCTCCAAAGACCAAGAGGTGTGGTGACCTTAATATATAGGGGTAGCTGAGAACAGGGGTCAAATTGCAAACACAGACCAGGGACATTATATGTGATAGATCCTGAACCAACTGAGAGCCAGAA